ATGCAAAACATCCCACTTGTCACTCCTAGATGTTAGAGTTCAAGGAAGTAAAACAAGGAAAAGGAATGAGCAAGTCTGGTTTGTTTAGACAGATTGCAAGGAGGAAGAAATTACAAAATGGGTTTGGATTGCAAAATACAATCTGAACAAACCATGAAATTTCAAGATGTTTGAGACTTTCAGTCCGTCTATGTCACAAAATCCAAGCAAAGTACATCGAGGTTTGTAACTGTAATGTCACAAAATGAGAAAAATGTAAAGCTTTTTGTCTCATGACAGGCAGCATTCGAATGAAATGTGTGTGTGAGACAGCTGAGACTTCACTGAAACTGGACCAAAACCAGCAAAGGTAAAACAGACCGAAGAGAAGAAACGTTTTCCAGAACCAAATTCAGATCTGAAGCTCCCAGAAAACAAAACTATGAGCATAAAAGTCTCAACAGACAATATGTTTAATATCATACATGCTTATATAAACTAAAGATGAGTGAACAGTTAAATGGTTACAGTGAAAATATTTTTTATTTATGCAAACAGCTAACGATTATTTTAGTAATCTGGTATTCTGTAGATTATTCTGATGATTAATCGGACAAAAACATTGACGCATTCACCAGGTTTTTCATTTGGAAACGTATGCCTTTTTTTTCTACAATACTAGAAATGCATTAAAATCCAAATAAACAAATTAATTCCTTTTTAAATAGGGAAAAATAAACATTGACTGAAATTCAGTACGTTTAGCCACTTGTAGCAAATGATGCATCTGCAGCTAAAGAAAATCTTTTACATCAACATGTGAAAAGCTCAGGCTTTTCTGCTTGATTTAACATCAACACCGAATAATAACGGTTCATTTAGCTGTCAAATTAGGACAGACTTAACTATTTTTTACAGAATTTGAACCAGGTGAAGCTAAAACTTTGCCACTTGAGGAGTTCTAGGTGGAAAATATTTACAAAGAAGTTTTTTCATCTTAAATTCAAAACGTATAATTTTTTTAACAGTTTTGTGCTAATTACTGCTCCGAGTCAGTTGTTCTTTTAGCAAATGGCCTGTTTTAGAGTTATACTAAATCTGTTGACGATTATCAGGCCTGTCACAATAACAAATTTTGCTGGCTGATAAATTATCCCAGAAGTTTTTGTCATAAACAACTATAATGTTGCTTTGAGACTAATGCGAAGTAATGTAATGGTAATGGCATAATAATGCAACTGCCCCATCTCAAAGATCAATAAAGTTACATTTCTAATATTTAACATTGTAACCAGAAAACAGTTTAAATATTTAAAACAAATAAAACAGAAACAACAAACAAAACGGACACTGAAGTCTCTAAACAAAATTATCCTTAAAAAGTTGAGACTAATGAAGACTATTGTCATCCAGTTTTTGGTAGAAAGAGAAAGAGACATAAGAGAAGCAATCATGCAATTGGAAATTATTGATCTCATTTTAATTGACCATGCAGTTAAGTGATTTATTGCTTACTGCGACAGGCTTAACGATTATTTCAATAATCGATTAGTCACGATTAATCATTTCGGTCTTATTTTTATTACTCCAGAGAACGTTGTTCAACAAAACCTTAAATCATGTAACTTTAGTATCGACAAACAGCTGACCCGATCCAGACAGCTGTCTACATCAGGGATGTCCAACGTGTGGCTCGGGGGCCATTTGAGGCCCTTTAGATAATTTTGTTTGTTCACTTGCCTCCACATGCACAAAACAGATGAAAATAAATGTGTTGTTCTTATTGGCCCAGTTTTATTTATCAGCCGATATCAATGTTGGTCCCAATATATTTTTTATCTCGAGTTTATTTAGTATATTACTGAAGAAATAAAAAGGATAAATGTCTCAATAAATGCATTTTTACAGTTTTAATTATGTAAAAATATTAAGCCTCTGAATTCTCTCGACATGACAGTTTTGGCTCTAATTCCCAAATGTTTGGACAGAAATATGTGGGTCATACACATGAAGGACAGTTGGGACACAGGGGAGCTATGTAGGTTACTCTGACAAAAAAGAGGCTGCACAGCCTTTAATTCAGACCATGATGAACGGTTAACCCCATAATTTTCTTAATTTCAGGATGCTCGGTGTTGTTGCAGGTTTGTTTTCAGAGCCTCCACAGCCCATCTGGTCTGTTATCTGCTGCAAGAACAATGGCTCAGAGGAAGTTATTATGATGATGGATCATTAAAAAACAACTTCAGCAGCATCCTGTCAGGTCTTTAAGATGACCTTGCAGGGCCGTAATGTTCTCCATATCCACTCGTCTCCCATTAACCTCCATGATACGCTAATGGAAAGTGGAAGCTGTCCAGTGCGGACAACAGGATGCTCCCTCAAACTCTCAATTTACTGAAGGAAATGTAGCAATACTGCTAAAATTACTAGCAGCAGTATTAGCAGTCTGAGGATTAACTAGCATGTGCTACATTTTACCTCATTAAACCAATTTTTAAAGGTGATCCATTGTGCTTCCTTGAACAGAGCGGTACAAATCATGTTCTTGACATTTTTTTCCACAAAATTATTCTTAGATAATGAGATTTTAGTCTGGTCAGTTCTGTTTTAAGGCTTGTTGTCACTTTAAATCCAGATAAGCTGCCGCTGTCCATGCCCCACACTCAACGTTTACACTCACAAGAGAAAATGGCTGCAAACAGATGCACAATTATACAACCATACATCTTTGAAAAGCATAATTAGAGGCTCCTGCACATCCAACAAGAATGCAGAAAGTGGTTTCTGAATGGTAAGTCAACAACAAAACTCTTGGCTTTTCCAGCGGCCATTGTACAGTGAATACAGAGGTAAAACCAGCTGACCAAACGTGTTGAAGCTTTGTTTGGGTCAGAGGCATCTTCTGATTCGTTGCAAGCTTGACTGCTACTGGAGATCACAGTATCACCATCCACAACTTAAAGATACGTGAATGGGTTACGACGTTTAATTTATCTTTGAGATGAATAAAGTATTTTTAAGTGAACTGAATTTAGACCTGAGCTTTGACTATGCCTTTTAACACATGAATATGCTTTAATATATTTTTCCACACATTTGCTGTATCCTCTACACGATCTATGGCAAACTGAAGATATTACTTTGTATGGGTTTCTTGTTGACATTTTCTTGGAATGAATGACTAAAATTTGTCCTGTCCGCAAATTCAAGCTGTGGCTTTCTTTATTTTCAATTCATATTTAGGCACTAATCTGTGTTTTTCTGTCACCTACATCTCAAAAAAAAGAGAAAAAAAAGCACATTGAGGTTTGAGACGTGTGTTTAAATTCAAATACTTTCACCAGACACTTTACATGGACCCTCGTAAATGCTTTTAAATTTTCTTTGCAAATATTTTTTGGAAACATCCAATCATGATGAAAACTTCAAATCAACAAAACAAAGCAAAGCAACTCAAAAGCCCTCAACAGCTCATCTAATCAGGAAACCAGCACAGATTAGGTTTGAGGTTAAACCGTGAACACGTCATTCCTGTTTTCTGGTTTATTTGAATCAATGTGGTTATTCTGGTCTGTTCAAATTATTTTGAATCTTTTCCTGGTTCCTGGTTGTTTGGAAAAAAAAAAAACAAACAAACAAAAAAAAAACATTATATTTAACATTTTTAATCATTTATGAAACAATTAATCATTTTATGAAACAATTAATTGAGTTAATCATAATGAATTGATTGAAATAATCAACCAACTTAGTAGTTAATTAATTGTCAACTGGAGTATTCAGACACAAAAAGGTGGTTATATATTTGATTATATGTTCATTTGCATATTTAAATATATCTCTACCATTCCATAAAAAGACTTGTGACAATTTTCTTTATCCGATTAATTGATTAGTCGTCAGAATAATTGATTACTAAAATAACTGTTAGTTGTAGCCCTACTCTATTTTTCTATACACGATTTATTTTGGTTATTTTTCCAAATTTCCTGAGCTATAGGAAGTTTGAAATATCATATAGTGATATAGAAATAAGATAAGTGACTCTTTGGGCAACTAATTCACGTTTGTTATTCAAAAAGTAAAAAAAATGAACAGATTAACAACATATGCATGTTCAAAGTTTTGCATATAAATTATTGTTTATTTGTATCTTAATACAACTATAAACTTGTATATGAAGGCTTAAGTGGTTAAATGAAAAATTTGCAGAACGTGTTTGTTTTTTTAAATCCAATTAATTGATTAGTTGTCAGGAAAGTGTTAGTTGCAGTCCCACATTCATGTACATTGTACACATACTTTAAGGGGGCTTTTGAAGAGTAAATTCCTGTTATTTTAAAATCTGGTTTGGCTGTTTTATGTCGTTTCTCAAACTTCCTGAGCTCAGATTAGTGTCTCTCTGGGAGACTAGGAGTTTGTTGTTCAAAGCTTAAAAACCAGGATAACCAGCAGATACATGTTCAATGTTTGCATTATTCTAGAATTACGTCGTTCAGAGTGGCAGCACGCTGGAGTAGATCTACACTTTCATTGATATTTTACTACTTTTTTTTTCTTTTTCAAAGTTTTCTTCCTGTCTTTCTGGGGAGAAATTAAACTTTTTGTTGGGAACCGTTCCTTCTTGTTTTGTATTCTGTGTAATTGGCCAGATTTTTGTCAACATTTTTCATACTTTGCTATTTTGCCATGACGTGAAACCATAGCAACAGGGTGGTTTACAACAGGAACTAGCTGAGTAACAATGGAAAAGCTGAAATACTTTTTTAAAATGTTATTTCACTTTGGGAATCAATACAATATTTTTGAATTTTTTTAATGATTATTTGTTTATTTGCTTCAGTGATTAAACGGAAAATCTGCAGAATAAACCAATTTTTCATCCGATTAATCGATTATTGTCAGAATAAATTAGTAACAGATTAGTGGGTCTTTGGGCTAAAGACTAAAGTTTAAAACCCAGAACAACCAGCAGATCCATCATGTTCAGTGTTTTAATGAAGCCCCCTGTTTCCCACCTGATGAGCGGTCCAAGCTGCAGGAGGTGCAGGAGCAGGACCAGCGGCCGGTCCCGACCCACGTCCCGGTGGATGAAGGTCAGGGTCAGCTGGATGAGCACAGCGGGAACCAGCATGAAGACGATGGTTAAGCTCATCCAGAACACATCGTTGGTCTTGTGGTAACTTTTGCAGAGAATGCAGGCGGTGATTAACTCTGCGCAGTAGAGCATGGTTGTCCACACCACGCTGAGTGGGGGGTTCACCCGGTGGCGGGGGGACTCCACGATGACCCCGTACTCCTCCCGGGAGGAGCACCGCTCCATGTCCGTGATCTCGCTGCCCTGCTCCTCCATGGCCACCTCACACATGTCAGTATCAGTTTCAGCAGCAACAAATCACAGATAAATTGAACTCCGCAGCAAAAACATCACTTTTTGCGGCATATCCCTTTAATGCGCCGTCGCTCCCAACTTTCCACCCAGTCGATCATTGCAGGTGTCTCATTGTGTTCCGCTCCACGGTTCGGCTGACTCACAAGCAGTCCGCCCTCAGCAGGGTTTGATATACCGTCGAAGAAAGCGGGGAAAACGCCTCTTCTCCCGGATCAGATCTCTCTCCGTATGGGCAGCGTTAGTAGTTCAAAAAAGTTCAGCCCACGACGCGTACAGTCGGGCTAAATCCACAGAAACTTCCACGCCGGTGACAGTAACCCACAGAGACACAGAAAGAGCCCCAGCCCACCGGGTTGTGGGTGTTTCTCACACCGCATTGTTGCTGCTCAAGCTGGGCTGCGTGTTGTTACTGTTAATTCATCTGCTGCGTCAAGTCAACCGTAATGGCGGAGGCAGAACGGAAATACGACCTCCTTTCAAAATAAAACACAAATCGACCCCAGACGCTGGGTCAGCATCATTTAAGACCGGCGTAACACATCCTTACTTTCGAGAGAGGGGTCCAAGTTGTTTGCCAAGTGCTACCGCCATTTTTTTTGGTTGCCTCATTTTATTATTTTCCATTTATTTGTTTATTTATGTTTATTTGATAGGGACAGACACAAAAACACAGATCAAAAACACAGTTAATACGCAACATCCGTTCTTAGGAGGACCTTAAATAGTTGATTAAAGGTCGACTTTTAAAGGTCTGAACACTAATTTCTCTTTCCAGATTATATTTCTCAGATAGGTCGACCATTCATTCATCCATTGTCTATACCCGTCCAAATGCACAAGCTTTGCAAGCTATTTAAACGGGAAACTCGTCATCACTTTAACCCACGTTGTTCCCCGGCGAACTGTTAAGGAGCGGAAACTTTGTGTTTTAAAGGTTTGAAACAGAGTATAAACTTCTACTAAACCTGATCTGAACTCTTTAATTGAGCTGTAAATGTTTCTTGTTTCTTACTGGGCCTCTCTTTTGAGTAAATTTGTAATAATTTTAAAGCATAACGTTGGTGAATGGATGTAGATCCCGTTTCCGGTTGGAATTAATGGGCTATCCACTCGTTTTGAGTTTCATTTTACACAGATGACGTGTTGATTCTAATGAAATCTGGTCTGAAATCAGACCTGTTCCTGTGAATGTTGGAAAACTGTTTCGTAAGCTGTGTGAAACGAGGTGTCCAGAGAGCGGAGCTACTTACAATATTCACATAGTACGTGAGTTTTATTTAGTCTAGCACCATCTAGTGGTCAAATTAAAACCTAACGTGTAAATGACAAGCCAGATTTCTATAAACTGTTATGGGAATAAGTTTTTGGAAACGAATTAATTTTTCAACCACTTGACACATTTTAACCATCTATTTGCTAGTGGAGATCAAATCTTTCAAACTGAATTATTCCACCACCACCAAACAAATCAGGAAATAAAAGAAATAAGTGGAAGATCATATTAACCTCCACTCCTTTCTGACTGCCAGGGTCTGTCCTGTTCAAATTAAAGTAGTGTGAAGGACAGGCAAAGAGAGATCAGTTTCCTTTCCATTTTTAGTTTCTCGCAGCAGGGCGGGCTTGGCCTTGTTTTAGTGTCCTACAGGCCTGAACAGGTGCAGACTTCAAACTGAGAACGATACGTCAAACATTACAAACAAAGACATCTAGTCATTATTTTTAAAGAATGAAATGAAAGGATCCTGTTTGTGGAGGTACAAATTCAAATTTAGCTTACAGGTGCCTGATTTACTGAAACATTTCCAATGCAAATCCTTTTCCAACAGCTTAAATAAGAGTTAAAATAAGCTTTAACTCTGATGAAAGTAGCTTAGAACAGGTTCAACTCAGCTTTAACTGAATATATATACATCACAGTTTAATCAGATCTTAGGAGAGATGATCCGACTTTGACGGGGTTTGCACATTTTCAGAAGACTTGTCATTACACTGCAAAAACACAAAATTTTACCAAGTTGAAATAAAACAAAACTAGCCAACAAGTAGCCTTTAAGCAAGATAAAGGAACTTGTTTTCATTAAATAATTCCTTAATATTGATGAAAAAGTAATGGTTCCACTATAATATTATTTCACTTATGATAGAGAAAAAAATGCCTTGTTATAAAATACTACTTCTGCCAGGGGAAATAAACCTTTTTCATCAATATTAAGCAATTAATTAACTTAAACAAGCTCCTATAACTTGTTTAAAAGTTACTTATAAGTTAGTTTTACCTTATTTTTAGTGTACTAAGATGTTTGTATTAGGAACTAGACCAAAAACACTTCGGTTTTGGTGTTTTTGCAGTGCAGTAATGGATGTGTTTGCTGTGTGGTGTGAGTGACTGCAGTCAGTGAACCCAGCAGACAGGAAGTTCATCCTGCAGAACCAGAGCAAGCTGCTTGCATGTTTCCTGTGTTACCGATCTTTCAGATTGTTTTGAAATGCTTCACAGGAAATCAAAATAAACGACACTGGAAGATTCAGCTTTTATATCATTAAAAGATCAATCTCAGTTTAAAACCCTGAAACAAACTTCAATATCTTATACATGAGATTTATAAAAGTGCTGCTATTGATCCTTTACTGCACACTCTGCTTCTTTGAATAGATTATCCAGAATGGTGAGTCCTCTCTTACCCAGTAGCTTTTTAAGAATGGGGTTTAACTGATTCATCCTAAAGCGTTACATTTATTAGGCTTTATGAAAATGATGCTGCCACTCATCTACTTTACAGTTGATGAAAAAGTACTGGTACTGATGAGCTTGATGATATTCAAGCGCTGATGCCAATTGTGGCCAAACACTTCAATTTTACTTTAATCTGCTTCAAATGAATAAAAGCTGTGTGGTCATTTATGTTGAATTTTTGTAAATCACAGGTGCGATCTTTATAGTTTTTTTTCTTTTAGGCAGTTAAAATCTACTCAAGTTAATTTGGAACCAAAATGTTTGGTTCCAAATTGTTTGTTTGTATGTTTCTGTACATGTTTCTGTGTCCTGAGATAGAAGTGCGTTACATTGATCTGACTCTTGTGTTTTATTAAAGAAAATGTTTATTTTAATGCTTGGTGATAATGTGCTGTTCACACTAAATGTTTTTGCACAGAATGCATTGTGATGTTTAATGAAATTCATTATCAGATCAGAAATTTGTTCATGCAATTTGAAACAAGAATTTAAATTATTCCAAAGTAAAATAAGTAGTTATTTTAACTTGATATTGTGAGTAAAATAACAGAGAAATGTGGTTCTTTAACTTATAGATTACATTTTTTTTCCTTACATATTGTGAAATAATTATTTGGTTTAAATTACAGCACTAAGTCTACACTCACAAGTCAAGATTAATTAACTTAAAAACAATGTTTAGACAACTTGTCTCTTGTTAAATCAACTCCATGAACTTTACAAATCAAAACAATTTTCTTTTTGACTTAAATTGCATTTTCAAGGCAGCAGGCGAACCTTCATTTTCAAGTTAACCCACCTTCAGATGTTTTACAGTGTACCTGATTATTCTCAATCAGGAGGTGCTGACTGTAACAAACGCTGCGACATCAGCAGAATAATGCAGAAAGCAGGAGAAAATAGATGCTTGTGTTTTTGCTGCATGAGTGTGAATGTGTGTGTGCGGCTGACGCAGGGATGAGTTTACTCAGCACCGCCTGATTGGACCGGGATTTAAATTACATAATGCGATAAAGCACGGAGAGAGGCCGCTGGTTCTGTCTCTGCAAGATGTAACTGGATATTGATTTTGAAGTCCAGCTGAAGCGTTGCCTCTTAAATCTTCTGGTAATGCTCCGCGGCGTTCTTTAAATAAACATGTAATCATATTTAATTGTCAATATATGTGATACATTTGCTGCCTGAATAGGAAAAGATTTATTGCTCAAACGCAATGGTGTTTCAGGCACAACATTTTAATATGGCTCCATCTAGTGGCTGTGTTTGATACATACAGATTATTATTACTGTATTAATACCATTATGCAACAGTCTGTTGAGTTAATCCGCAGTAAACACAGAACTGAGTCATTTTTCCAACTCTGTATATCTGGGTCTGAATTATTTAGACATAGTTAGTTACTAGATTTTATCACAGGTGGGTAGAAAAAAACAAAAATTGTAAAAGCAAAACTACTTCAATGTATTTTTACTCAAGTAAAAGTGAAAATAAACCATCCAAGAAACTATTCCAGTAAGAGTAAAAATACATACTGATCAAAACACCAATAGACAGACGGACATATAAAGTGAAGTGGATTTTTTTGTATTTTAAGGACGAAAATGACAAAGTAACAAAAAATAACAAAATTAGGCAAAAGACAATTTTTCCAAATCAATACAAAACTTATAAAACTTTAGATGTGTGTATATATCTAGTAATTTTTGGTGAAAAGATGTTTGTTTTTTATTCAGTGGGTAGAGAATCCAGACATTTTACTCAAATAAGAGTAGAAATACTTCATAATCAAATTACTCAATTAAAAGAAGTACAACATTGTAAAAATACTTCTGAATTTACACCTTTCAAAAGATACTCAAGTAAATCTAAATATAACCAGTTACTCTCTTATAATTTTTATTATGAAGTGATTCATAATAGAAGAATACATTAGCTATGCCTGTAAAGTGTCATAAGTCAATTCAGTGATTACGTTTATTTGTATATGACATTTCCACCTTATCCTAATCCAAAGACTTTAAAAAAACACCAGTACTTGAGTTTTTTTTTAATTGGTGTGTTTCCATTAAGTGAATTTATTTTTGTAATTACAATTTGTGGATGCAGTTGGAGAAGGGAGCAGGTAGAGGCAAACGAGGAATCAATAAACAGAGGGTGAGACAAAACATAAACAAAAAAAGAATATAAAAAGAGCTGAAAGAGACTAGAACCTAATATAAACAAGAAACAGAAAAAAACAAATCCAAAGCATAAACAATTAGAATAAATTAACTAACAGCAGGGAAAATCAAAAGGAAATGAGAAATAAATGATAAACAGAAATTAGTCCAAACTACAGGAACTAGTATCTGGTTGGACCATTTTTGTTTTCAGAAAAGCTTTTATTTTTGTTCTCAAGATGTCCTTACTTATTACACATGTTGGTTCATATTAACACCAAACAGTTTCCTCATATTCACTGACATCTGATTAACTGCGGCCATCTTTGTTGAAGCCAAGCAGAGTAATGCTAACCAATCACGAGGCAGATGTTGAAGCCTTAAGACCCCGCCCCCCTCATTTGCATAATGAGCCAGAAATTCATAAATAAAAGCAAAAAGAGATGAGGAAATATGAAAAGAACAAACACTTGAAACAAAACAAAACAAAATAAAATATATACATTTTTTGTTGAAAATGCATGTGTAAGGAAAAGAAAAAAACAACATATTCATACAGTTCTAGAAAAAATTAAGAGGGCACTTAAAATAATCAGATTCTCTGATTTTACTCTTTATAGGTACATGTTTGAGTAAAATGAACATTTTTCTTTTATTCAATGAACTACTGACATGTCCCTGAAATTCCAAGCAAAATTTTATATTTCTTTGCAAAAAATGAGAAATGGTCAAAAAAGATGGAGTGTTTTCAGAACTCAAATAATGAAAAAAAAAGAAAAAAAAAAGTTTATATTCATTTAGAAACAACTTATTTCAACTCAGGAAGAGTTCGGAAATTAATATTTGATGGGATAACCAGGAGATTTTCATTGGTGTTCAGTGCCGTGTGCTCTTCATTTTTCCAGAGTTGTATTTCTGCTTTTATTTTTAATTCTGTCAATTTTGGTCTTCCATAGAAATCTGTAAATGTCTCTTAAAGGACTTTTAAAAACTCTTTATACTCATAAAACACAAAGCATGATTCTCTATAGCTCTCTGTATCATTGTCTGTTGAAATTTTCATTTTTTTCAATTATTTTTTGGATCTCCATTAGCCATTGCCATGACAATATGGCTACTCTTCCAGGATTTACATCACAAAACAAACAAAACATTTATTACAAAAACAGTTGTACAAACTTAATATAGCAATAGTAAAATAGCATATTGATTTTTAAATTTACAATTTTATCCGTTTTTATAATAAAATAATTAAGAAGAGCTCTTTTAAAAGTTCTTAAAAGCTTTTTTTGCAACAGCTTTTAAGAACTGTTGCAAATGTTAATATAATTAACTTTTGCAATATAAAAGTTAATTATATTGAAATATTTAGTCTCTGTAGTACTTTCTGGGAAAGGAGATCATGGAGCGTCACACATCACACCACTCGATACATTTAGTCCTCCTGGACGGATTTATTCACCTCCATTAGGAAAAGTTAAAAAGGAAACCTGCGCCGTCCAATCAGATTATAGGCTGAGCCTGCGCGCTGTCTGATTGGTGGAGAAGTGAGCGCAGCATTTCCCAGGATGCACCTCCCACATGAGGTGACTAACGGCTTAAGGTGAGCCTGATTAGCTGAGCAGCAGGTGGCTGCAGGATGTCAGTCGGGGCGTTCACCCAAACAAATGCATGGACATAGATCTGCTTCTGTGAGTATCTCCATGAATTTTTACATTTGCGTATTTTAATATGTAATTTACTCACATAATCTACTTTTTATTTTAGTGCCAGCAGCACTGAAGATCATTATATTCCGTTTCAGCACCTGAATGACATAGTTATTACTAAAAAAAAAATCTAATAATGACACATTTTGTGATGAATACTGAGTTTTAAGAGGTTAATGTGGGTTTATTTTGTAAATAGTTTATTAGTTATCACTGAGATTTCTGAGGAACAGCAAAATAGTTTTATAATTTCACTTGACGGTTTGGTAATTTTGTTTTAAGTCTTCTAGCTTTATGCCTTGGTGAAAAAACTCCATAACCACAATGCTTTTGCATTTGCAAAACTCTGAGTAGAAAATTCAGTTGAAGGTAAACAACATCCAATTAACCATTTGTCAAAGATTCAAAATCCTTCAGACGGCAAAACTTTAAGAGATTATGGAAACTTTAAATCTGTTTTAATGTGTGTATGTAGGTTATTTTGATTGAAAATAACAAATATTTGCCTGGATAAATTATGACTGCACAGTCAGTAGAGGTGTGTTGATATATTAAGTGTTTAAGAAGCTGCGTTCTGAATCTCTGATGCCTTTCCAAGTAATTAACTGTGTTTAAATTACAAATATGAGCAAACTCTGTCGATATCCCACTAAAAAAACAAAACAAAATTTCACAATTGCAGTGCGTCCATTAGATAAGAAACGCAATTAAAAATCACATGTGAAAAAGTATGTTCATGTGATAAATCATTAAAAAACATACTGTGTCCAACTACTTCCTGTCGTCTTCTTCTTGTGCCAGTAGCAACATCATGTGACTCGTGTGATGTGAAAAAAGTAGTAATATTCATAACCACTAATTCCTTTTCCCATCCAGTACCGAGTGAATTTCAAGCTAGAATCTGTGTTACCAATCCGAAACTGATAATTTGTCCAAAAACACCTAATATGTTTTGTAAATCTTAAAAAGAAAAGAAGTGATGTAATTCAGATTTTGAACATTACTGTATTTTATTTATTTTAAAGTCTGAAGCAGGCAATCATATCAGTAACTCAGTACATAAAATCATAAATAAATCCTTTTTTAATTATTAGGAACTATTATAAAATGAAAGCTTGACTCCTAATTGACATGATGGATGGAATGGATGGCGTCCATCTTTGAAACGTTCCCTCATTTCCATGTTTTTAAGGAACAGTGGCATATTTACTATTTTCCCTTTTAGTCCATTTCGTTTATTCCTCAGAACTTCTTCTGCCTTCAAAAAGACTCTAATCTAGGCAAAATCTCAATAATTTAGCTAATTTCTAATATGTTCTTGTTAGGATACATTACATCTAAATTGACTGGAGCATTTCAGTATGAATCTGCACATCATTAGAAAAAAGGCCTTCTATCACAGTTTTGCTAAATAACACACTCTATGCTAGCGTCAAAACATTTTTATCAGAAAACTGTTTTTTCTCTATTATTTTTGCTGAGGACAAATACGGGTCATCATGTGAACAACACCGTCAAAGTGGGCCATTCTAAACGGGCCTCAGCAGATTATGGTGCCTGAGCAGATGTACTTGACAAACTTATATCTAGCAGGTTAGTCAGTGGCCTGAATACCTCAGACAGACCTTCTGCTCAGCGTCTGCTGCAACGCACGTGGGGAACCGCCAACCATCTGGGGTCGTCCCTAAAGCCCAGAGTAAACAGACATTAAGCGTCTTTGAATCAGACCCGACCATAAACCCGTTTACTCCAGCTGCTCCAGCCCCTTTTTACGACTAATGCTGAGGTTTACCGGCTGCCTGCCTGCCTGCAGGTACCAGTTCCAGAGAAGATGGTGGCCGCTGTGCTCACCTTGTTCTCCTCAAGTCAACATGTTCAACCTGATGAGCAACTGCTGCAGCTGGGTCGCCAAAATCCAGGAGCCACTCAGGTACGCACTGCCGCTTTCTCAACCTGAACCTCCAATGGACAAAAATGCATTTGATGATTTTTTTCTGGTTTTGCTTTTTTTTTTTTTTTTTGTCTTGCTTGCATGTTTTGAGATCATGAAACAAAGACCGCCAGAGTAAACAGAAAATAAAGGGCTTAAATCTTACTTTCATTTAATAATAGAAATTAGCTATACCTAAAAATCTGGTCCTTTCCACTGAAATCTAATACCTAATTTAGTTACTTCTGATGACAACATTTAGCCTAAAACACTATTTTAGTTCACTCTTCGCTGCAGAATTGTTTAAATTCAGCCAAGTTGGAGTTTGACGAGCCCCATCCCAACCTTCATTTTGTTATCTTCGTTATCTTCCTTCGTCCTACTTCAGAGTGTCAGACAGGTGCTAATTAAGAGATTTATTGTTTCTGCGGGTTTGGCAGAAATCATCCAGGGTTGTGATCAGTGAAATCTAACTTTGCTTTCTACAAAAGCCATTGCTGTACAATGGCTACTGGAAAATATGAGAATATGTTTTGTGGTTGACCTCCCAGAAACCAATTGCTGCATTCTTGCTTGTTGTGCAGAGATGTACAGTTATACAATTGCACATCTGTTTGCAGCCATTTTCACGTGCAATGTGAACATTCAGTTAAGTGGGCGTGGCCAGCAGCAGCTTATTTGGATTTAAAGTGACAGAGGCCCTAAAGCAGCTAAAATAGGACTAAGATCTAATTATCTAAGAACGATTTTGTGCAAAAAAACTGTAATGAACATGTTTTATAGAGCCCATAGACTGATCCTAACTTGTTCAAGGAAGCATAAAATGTCACCTTCAAAAGAGAACTGATATAGCTCTGTTTTTATTTCTCTGAAGGAAAGTGACCATTCTCGTGGTTGGTCTTGACAAAGCAGGAAAAACCTCATCGATCAGAGGGATGTTAAGAGGTACAGTCCTAAACACAGCAGCGTTAGATATCGTCAGCAGGAATGTAACACCCGACTCGCCTGTTCTGCTGCTCCAGTCCCTCCTGGTGTCGACGCGGGGCCAACCCACGGCTGCATTAAAAACGAGCTGAGAGTGGAGAACTACCTCGTCACGCTGCTGGACGTCGGAGGATCAGCGGAGTCCCGTGGAGCGTGGAGGGAGCTCTACGGAGAAGCCCATGGCGTCATCTTTGTGGTGGACTCCAGCGACAGGCAGAGGATGAAGGAGGCCAGGGACGTTCTCGCAGACCTGCTGAAGCAACCGAGGGTTGCAGGAAAACCCATATTAGTGTAACGACTTCCTGCTGTTAACCTGACTTCTAGTTCTGGTTGAACTTAAATTATATTGGATTAATCGCCATGTGTGTTGTTGTGCTTTCAGGTTGGCAAACAAACAGGATAAGATGAATGCGCTGCTGGGAAGTGAACTGATTGAGATTCTTTCCTTAGAGAAGCTGGTCAACCAAAGCCGCTCTCTGTGCCATATTGTGAGTAAAGTTCAGAGGTCGCCTCGGGAACAAGGTCACAGAAAAACTGGATGTAGAAACTCAAGTAGGATGGATGGATGGATGGATGGATGGATGGATGGATGGATGGATGGATGGATGGATGGATGGATGGATGGATGGACTGACCGATGGATGAACATATAGATGGATGGGTTGATAAACAAATTGAAGGATGGATGGATAAAAGGAAGTTTTTTTTTACTCTACTTTATTTTCCCTATTTAAAATCTACTTTTCCATTAGTTCAGGAATCCTGATGACAATGAAGTCAGACTGAAATATGAAGATTGAACCCTTAGTTTTTCTTCCCAGGAGCCTTGCTCAGCCTTAATGGACCTGCGGCGCTGGTCGGACAGAAAGACTCTGCGAGGCCTCCGCTGGTTGCTGCGAGCTGTTTGCCTGGATTACCCGGATCTGTGTGCCCGGGTGGCGCAGGACAGCAAGCGGCCTCTGGAGCCCCGGGAGAGAGAAAAGAAAGGCAGACCCGAGAAAGTGCAAAGAATATCCAAACTTGAACGGTACTGTCAGAACCAGAGAAAGACTGAATACAACAGGGATTGATTCTTTTAACAAGACCTGATGGTTAATTTTCACTTTCGTCTCACCTCAGAATGAGATCCAGCAAGTCGGATCTGCGTCAGGTTCATCGGTCCAGAGACAAAGAGAAAAGGAACAGTGGTGAAGGAAAGCTGCAGCCCATTAGGAACATGCTGCAGAAGGTCAGAAGAACATTGGTTTTCATCACGGCAAAAAAAGATTCTCTGGAAATAATAGACCCGATAGCAAATTTCAGTCATCATGTACATTACAATTACTTTCAGTTCACATTTAGGACGTTTTTTTGTTTGTTTGTTTGTTTCGTTTGTTTGCTTTACTTCTATTTGGGTCTAAACTGCGTCTGCAAACAGTCGAAACAATTTAAAATTAAAAATAATAGTAATAGAAAAACACCTAGAAGTTTTTTGGCAGTAAGTTGATGTCTTTTGCGTTCTGGAAACTTAGCAGTTTCAAAAACCTCCAGACACCCGAGTCATAATCAACAGGCACCGAACCGTTGCCTAGCAACCCAGCGAGCCCTGCCGCTGAGTTGCTAGCGCTGGGCTCGCTAGCAACCCATCGAGCTCCGGCCTGTTTAGTCAGCCAGTTTAACAGCTGTATGCGCTGTATAGCGGCTGCTTGAAAATATAATAATCTTGTTGTTGACTTACCACCCAGAAACAGGAGGGTAATACTTTTCAAAGATGTACGGTTATTTTGCCCATCTGTTTGCCGCCATTTTGAAGAGCGAGTGTAATCGTTGAGTTTGGGCCGTGGCTATCAGCAGCCTATTCGGCTTTAAAATGACAGGAGCTGCGTTTCCATTTCACATGTGTGAATAACTTTGCAGATATTCCGCTAATGTCGAGAAAACATATTTATAAAAAAAAAATCGCAATTATCACGCCCAAGTCATAAAAAGCATGCGGCGCCACCATCCTCCAACTACTTCCTATCGTCTTCTTCGTCTTTTCCGCCCGTAGTGACAGCCTGTTGATCATGTGATGTGAACAAGTGTTTGCATTGCAGTTTTGTGCAATATGCTAATTTTGATACAGCCCAAAATCCATCTCATCCTAGGGTGGTAAGTTTTTTTTTATTGAAAAACGAGAGTTTCTTTCAATACTTTAATGTTTCCATTAAGCAAATTTATTTTTGTAATTGCAATTTGCCCAGTTATATGGTCAATTGAAACAAGCCTTGAGGGGCTCAAGATTAAAATTGGCAGAACTGATCAGACTAAAATGACATTATCTAAGAATGATTTTGTACCAAAAAATGTAATGATCATGTTTTGTATCCTAACATGAACATAATAAGTCACATTTTAAACCAACTAAATTCTTAACATGTCTTCTTTTGCCATCAAAAGCGAGAACAGAAATCTGAAGAATCTGGTGGATTAAACATGAGCAGCAACAAAATAACAAGTCTTGTTTTCCAGGAAAACACACTGAAGAAGAGGCTGAGGTCAAAGAAGATGAAGAAAAAACCAGTGAAGGTCAAAGAAGGTGTAAAAGATGTTGAAGAAGCACCTGAAGAGGAAGAGGAGGGTGAAGCAAATGAAGGAGAGCAAGAAAGTTCTGGAAGCAGAGACAAAGCCAGCAGTGCCCTGATCCCTCCGAAGAAAAGCAAACTGAAAAGCAAGACAAAGGTGAAAGAAGATATGCTGGATGCTCCAGGATCCCTGGAAAGCAACGAGACACCAACTAAAGGTTGTCCTTAGCTGCCTTATGTTGTTCGTTATGGTGTGTAGAGATGAAACCTCATATTTTTTATTTATTTTAACTATAGCTAAAGGAGAAAGGAAGAAGAAGAAGGTTGTGAAGGTAAAAAGAAAAAACAAGATCAACACGGAGGGAATGCCGGTGGCGTACTCTCAACCCGTGGACCTTTCTGAAACCTTTGGTGAGGCACAAACACTTCTTCTTACCTCCTCCTGTCAGATAAAATAACCCAGGACTCTGAAAATACAAACTTTAATTTAAACAGATGAACCTGTCTCCCGGTAGATCTGTACCGAAAAGCAATCCAGGCTCTGAAGGAACGTCAGGATCAAGCTCAGGGACAGTGAATCCGGTTGCTTCCGACTCTCCAAACAGACACAACCTACAATCTATGCTCAACACTCCTCATCCACTTGGAAATAACCGCGACTTTTACCAAACAAGGAAAGTTGTATTGACCTCCTGACCCCTGAGCATTTGAGGAGAAGTCTCAGTGTGCAGTGAAGGGAAGGCAAAAAAAGAAAGTCGTGTTGTACAGTGTACAAAAAAGAGAACATTTAGGCAGTATTGTGAGTACATGGCCAAAATATTGATCTGTAGTTTGTAAAATGTGATCATTTTTAAACTGTATTTTTTAATATTATTTGAGAATTATCCAACAATGAGCTGATATCTTTGCAAAAACTGCTGTATTCCTGATTAGATTATGAAATGTAATAAAAACATTGTCTCTAACGTCTCCTGTTAAAGTCGGACATCTTGGCTTTATGGTTTTGATGTTTGGAATCAACGTCCTATTGAAGCTATTTTCACATTTTAACCATTAAAGGTATCCCAAACTGAGAGAAAATGAGTATTTTCATGGAAGGCAGCCACAAACGACCCGTGAGCTGGATTGACCTTGGTGACGCATGTTTTCCATCACCTCGTTCTGAGAGCGAGAGGAGGATGGAGAAAAACGGACCTGCTCCAGAATCAAGTTCTTCAACCTGGACTAAAAATTTCAGCTGACTCCTTTAGGTGAATTTAGGAGTTGACTTTTGGATACAAACATGCCAAGGATAAAGCTCTGAAGTCAGGTCACTGAGTTCTTTCCTGCTTTGATTTTTCACTTAAACAGTTTAGATCAAACTTTCCAGACTTATTACAATACAGATAAACATAATCTGTGTTTATCACTCTTTCATTGGTGGTATTCCTTGGTTTCCAATGCTAAACCCTTTAGCAAGAGAGATGTGTTCAATGTCTGGAAAAAAATTTAGTTTTATAATCTGATGAAACAAAGATGAAGCTTTATGGACACATTGATGTACATTTACAGTGTTGAGGCAGGTTTGGGCGAAATGACTTAAAAATAAAATCTCAGTTTTATTTTTTTGTGTTTTGTTTTTCATTTAAAATACAACAAAAAGTAAAATGTGAACTTTTGCAGCACCAAATGAAACTCTAAAATGGTGGAATTAGAAACTTAGAAGCAATAAAAATAAAAAATAAAACAGTTTTTAATTCATTTGATAGTTTTTTTCTTTTTTACCTGATTTCCTATTTTAATAGATTTTTGTTAGTGCTTTCTTTTGTAAAAGAAAAATAAATTAGAAATGATAGAAAAATATTTTCAAAATGACTTATTGTCCCTTCTGTGAGTTGTACAATGGCTACCAGGCTACAACATTTTTAAAATTGTTTAATTACAAGAATATAGTCATAATTAATCACTAGTAAAGATGTAATATTACCAGAAGAACATAGACTGTCTGTCAAGATAGACACATTTGTCATTTCAAAGTCAAAATTTAAAGTCACACAAATAAAACATTTCTTAATTTACAAGCTGTGGTCATATTTTTACAGAAACTTTTAACTGTCAAAGCTTGAAAATAAATTCAGGAGCAGTATCTTTTTTAAACTAGAAAACTTTCTCGAGATGCAGTATTGAATTGAGAAAACATTCTCATTTTTCAAAACTGGTAGTAATAAGTTTAGTCTCTCAGTAAAACTAAAAAATAGTGAGAAGAGAGTCATAGCAAGCCTCTTTATGTCTTATTAACAAGTCCAAATGTGTCCGAGGAGCATATTTTGATATCTTGTTCTGGTTATAACGAATTTTTTATGGTATGATCTTCTTGTTACAACAAGATACTGCTCCTGAATTTATTTCCAAGCTCTGGCAGAATGTTTCCATGCATTCCATGTGCAAATCTTTAATTTTACAAGCTCGCTTGTAAGCTCAACCAATTTAATTTAGCTTCTCCTGTCTTTTGTGGTGGTTCTTCCATGAAATAATTTTGTCCACAGGCCCCATACAGCTAATCCTGTGCAGTGACTAGATAGCGTATCATGGTTGCCTAGCAACACCAACTGCTGCCAAAAACCATTCCCTCTCAGCTGTTCAGTTTCACCAGTCTGTGGCCTAATAGCGGGTTTAAATTGCGCTCTGTTATGTATAATTGTGAAGAAAGCCCCCCACTCGGGGATGCGGCGTAAAGTGGCGGTGGCACCGTGTCGCCATTTTTTTCTGGTTCATCCAGAAGCCCATCCCCCTGGTTGAGGGAAACCGTCCGACTTTCATTCACTTTCCACTGGGAAGCGGCCCGGCTGCGTGTGCGGCGGTTGAAACATGGCCTCGCCAAGGACAATAACCATAGTGGCCCTTTCTTTTGCTCTGGGTTTATTTTTCGTGTTCATGGGAACTATCAAGCTCACCCCGAGACTAAGCAAAGATGCCTACAGTGAAATGGTGAGTAAGCGTTGATTCTTTAGCGCATCAGTCGGGCTAAATGAGAGCCATTGTTCTAGGCTTGCTGCAAACGCGCTCGAATATTAACATATGGAGACGCTGACCTAAATAATGAAAGAACCGGAAAATTTGTTATTTGTAGAGCAACGTGCCACATTAAAGTTTTGTTATCCCTGTGAAGAATTGGGTTATATTGCAGATATATGTGATTCTGCTGTAATCATCATTGTGAAGGTCATTTTATTGTAAAATAAACATCATAATATTTCTCCATCAATGTACAACGCATACAAAAACCTTCTGAAATAGGCGCTGCGGAAGCACATTAATTTAAAATATATATTTCTTGTTAATTCGGTGTATTTACTCACATTTATGCAGAAATTACAACGATTTACTATGTGTATACATTTAAAAGTGTAGTTGCACAGCTTCCTTTTTTGAATTAAAGAAAGAAAAAGAACTGAAGAGCAATGGCGGCGCATTCGAGCAATTTCTGAGATGCACCTGCAGGTGCTGATGTTGAAACATCCTGCACGGATCAGGACTGACTGGAGGGCATCCCAATGATCCCCATCAAAAATAAAAGAGAATCATAAAGGCATACATTCATATTACACATTAATTAATGTTGGATATATGAAAATAGACAAATATATAAACAAATAATTGGATTCAAAATGAGAATGGGTGGAGTAAACTTAAGATTTCATCATGATATATGTGTAATTTATTGTTAAAAGTGCGGATAAAAGACTTTTGGGGATACCCAGTCACTGCATACCTACCAATGCCTCACAAAAACAAAACCGGCTCTAAAATAAACTTTCTCGTTTTTAATAATGGTGCTTTACTGCAACAGTTGCATTCAGCAATACAGTAGTACTGATAAACACTTAATAATTGGATGCATTTATATTTGGAGGTGTAAATGGAAGCATTTAATGTATTGTGCAGAATTAGTGACAACAGTTCTGCAAACATAGTTACTTGTTGTCACATGATTTATTTAATGACATATTAATGATATTTTTCATGATAATGACTGATTACCTGACATTGAACCATTCTTAAATTATAATATTAAAGATGAATAGTTTATTAATATGTAATTAAATAACTTAGTGTATCCAAATGTGGCTTCGTCGTGTGTTAAAGATAGACACATTTATTTGGTTATTTCATTGTTATTAGGATTATTTATAGAATGCCTGCACTCCAATGCATTGTGAAAATAAACTTTCTCTGTTTCGTCAAAAAGACCCCAGTAGGGATTGGCAATCATTGTATTAGTTATTGATATGAAATGTTATTGTTAGTGAAATGACCATGATAAAAACTGTGGTTGGTTTTAAAATTAAACCAATCACAATTTTGATCAATTATGTTTATAAAGTCTCGAAACAAACTGCATTTGAAAATCCTTTGTTGTTTTAATGAGAGCATAAGTATTTACAATGTTACATGAGTTAATCATAAAATTATTTAATTTAAATCATCTTAAAAATCTGTTATTTATGTTACTATGTATTCGGTAGACCATTGACATATTTTATTTAGCTTTTATTTATTTAATGACATATTAAGCCAGGTATCACATAATTTGTTTATTTCCTTGTTGACGTTTGTCTTGGATTTGTTTTTTTTACCCTTGATACTGTAACAGGGGGTCTTTGAAATACAATTTAATTTTTTTAAATAATTATAGATTTGTTTAATCATATAAAATTTTTGAGAATTTTTAAAAAATATATTTGATAAATGGTTTAGTCCAAAAAATTATGGAAGATTTCTAGATGTATTAAATGTGTTGTTCTTGGTGTTGTGACACTTTTTGTCACAACTTTTGTAGGCCAAAAGTGGCTCTTAACTGTCTCTTCTTTGTTATTTGGATTGATGCTGGTTATAGATTAACTACAGGTGCACTGATAAATCGGTGGTAATTTTCTTCATTTTGGGAGATCTTTGATTGGCCAATACTTAAATGTGAAATCGATCTTATCCGCTGATCTTGTCTACCTCAGCAAAGGTCTAAAAATCAGCCTTTGTCCTCTTCTGCTCTGCTGTGAGAGGTCTGACTGACAGACCGGCCCACCCGGTCATATCTGCATGTTTGCAGTTAACAATAGTCACCCCAGTTATTCAGCAACATTCTTGCTATATTTTGTGATATTTCAGACAAAAAAATGGTATTGGCCAAAATCGAAATCGGCAGGTCAGGCTTTTTATAGATTGGTGATCAGATAGAAAACTGCAGTCATTGCAGCCCCAATAGTAACTGTTTAAAAAACTAACACTTGGATATGCTGAATATGGTGAAAGCATTTAGAGAGTGTTTAGCTTTTTCTTTGCATTTTTTATTTTTTATTTTTGCAGAAAAGGGCATACAAGAGCTACGCCAAGGCGCTGCCAGGTCTGAAAAAGATCGGCATCAGCTCCGTTCTGCTTCGCAAGATCATTGGGTCCCTAGAAGTGGGCTGTGGAGTGGTGCTGACCCTGGTCCCGGGCCGGCCGAAGGATGTGGCCAACTTCTTGCTGCTGCTCGTCATGCTGGCTGTGCTGTTCTTCCACCAGCTAGTGGGGGACCCCCTGAAGCGATACGCCCACGCTCTAGTCTTTGGTATTCTGCTTACCTGCCGGCTGCTCATCGCCCGGCAGAGCGATGATCGGCCCGAGCGGGAGGAGACCCGGGAGGAGCTGCAAATCAACGACCAGGAAAGGAACAAGGTCAAGCAGTCTTAAGGTCTTCAGCGGTAAAGGAAAAAATGGATTGCAGTAATTGAAAATTAAAGGGAATCATTCACTTCTAGTAATAACCCTCCACATACACATGTCCTCTGTCGTCCAGCTGGCTGACTGATTAAGTTCACCAATTCCTCTGCACTTCCACTGTGAAACTAAGAACTCATGTACCTTTTCTCCTCTGCATAATCGTGGACAATCATGTCTGACTGATCTCAACTTATTGTCACCACAGTCCTGTTTTCCATTTATTTGAGTG